TTCTGATGAAGAAACAAACTCATCTACATATTGGATGGCCTGAGAATGAGTACATTTTGAGAATTTTTAGATTAACTATTTCTTTACCTGCATGAAGTACTCCTCCAGCAAACAGTCCACCCACGGCTCAGCGACCTCCATCGGCCGAACCTCATTAGAGATGTCACAGCACTTGATCAACACCATTTTTAGCTGTCACAGATATAAACATACATGTTTAATAAGCTCATCACAGCACATTTTTGTAGGTGAATACAGATACTGTTAAATGAGTTCAGAAAGCTTACACAAGTAACATGCTCCTCATTAGTGAAGTCAAAGTAATCCACTTTCTGTTTGAAAGAGTCCAGAATCTCTCCATGTCGGGCCATGTCTGTGGCCAGTATCAGGTTGATGGTTCCCTGTCACAGACAAAATAGCAGACCAAATCATTATTCATTGTTCAAAGACAAATGTATTAAGTATGTGTGCACAAAGCTCAGTTTAAAGGCCAGAGGCACACCTGACGAATCAGTTTGAAGGCTTCAGGATCAAAGTTGGCAAAGATGTTGCAGTCAGACTGAGAGAATATCTGGAAGGCCACGGCACAGTGATGGTTCTCCAGAGGAGAGATGTCATTGTACCTTACCGCCAGCTCTGTGCGTGCGTTAATCTGATACCTGCAAAAGAGAGGATGGTGCTGTGTACAGGGTCCAAAACACTCGAAAATACAAATTTTACTTGCATCTGTTGTCCATGAGGCAGCACATATGTAGAATATGTCGAACACAATGACTTGTGTAAGGAAAAATCACAAATAAACCCTCAATGTTCAAAACAGAGGTAGTGTGATTTTTTTCAGATGTTTTTAAAAGAGGTCTCTTTTTCTCACTAAAGCTGCATTTATTTGATTAAAATACAGTAAAAATACAGCAATACTGTGAAATATTATTACAATTCATTTTAATCTATTTTTTAAAATATATTTTATATTATTATTATTATTATTTAAACAAAATATATATTTTTCATTTGAAATAATTCCAGTGCTTTGGGGACAAAAAAATAAATAAAATATATATATACCATTTAAAATATTCTAAAATATTCTAATAAATATTTTATAATATATATAATAGATTAATGTTTTTTTGTAATGTCCTTCACCTGCATTTATATGATTAAAATACAGTAAAAATAACAATATTGTGAAATATTATCACAATCAATTTAAAATAAGTTTCTGTTTGAATATATTTTAAAATGTAATTTATTCCTGTGATGTAAAGCT